TGATAAATCCTCTGGCTGGATTACATGATTTTTTAAAAAACACCAAATTTAAGTGGGAGACATAGCATATTATATAACTGAATTTTTAAAAGCCAAATGCCTGAGGATATACTGAGAGAAAACAGAATAGAGAGAAAAATACTAAATAAGCAAAGTAGAGAAGATAATGAGGTTTGAAAGGATCCAGCTACTTGGATTAGGCTAGAAAAAGAAGACTCCAGGCAGAAGAAACCGTTCTTCAGACAGCAAGGTCTATACTGCATGTTCTGTTAGGCTGAAGCCAAACGGGGAGAGGCAGAGTTCAGTGGCAGGTGCCTGGCAAGTTCCAGAAGCTCAGAGGCCTCTAATGATAATCTAGAGAAAGGATACAAGGCCCTCTACTAACAGAATTTCAGATACATTTTAGCTGGGTAAGAGAGGGTAAAAGCAGTACATTTCCTCTCATTTCAGAGAGGGTAAAAATGTGAAACCACTGAAAAGTGAGTAGGGTCATCTCAAGTTGAGAGATATTATTTAAAAGATATCAAGAGAGACGAGTAGAGAAATGTTGGTAATTATTTAGGAAACTTGTGGGTATGTGAGAAAGAGGGGTCAAGGATATCTCCAGGACTCTAGACTGAGTCCAGGTCAAAGATGGTGCTACAGACTAAGGGGCTAGAGAGGAAGCACACTCAACACCTAGGAACAAAGAATTCAGCTGTAAAGGGGATGTGAAATCTAAAAAGTAAGAAAAGTAAGAGCAGGGAAGCTTCCGCTAATTTGGGAGGTCCCTCGTTCCATTCAATCAACAAAATGTTGGCAACTATCTGTGGGGCACTGGTGTAGGAGGAAAGAATAGTGTGTGGGGGACGGCTGAGCATAGATGCCAGATGGTGAAGACAGGATGAGTTGAAAGCGAGTGAGAAAACAATGTCTCTCTCAAGAGACTGGAACTTCTGGTGGTGACTTCCAGTCACAGAGAACAAGACTCCGGAGTAAAGGAAATGTACACACAATGATCATGTAAAGTGGTATTCTGGACTGGATTTGGGAACAGAAAAGGGACATTAGTAGAAAAACTGGTGGAATTTGAATAAAGTACAAAGTTTAGTGATAGTGACGTACCATTGTTAATTTCTTAGTTCTGACAAATGTCCTGCAGTCATGTAAGATATTAATGTTTGCAGAAACTAGGCAAAGGACTGAGCTCTACTATTTCTGCAATCTTTCTCAAGTCTAAACTTATTCCAAAATGACAAGTTTACTTACAAAAAAAGGAAGAAATCCAAAAGCAGACATTCCAACCACATCCTTCTTTCCACAAATTGAAGCTTTGAGGAATTTATTTTTCAATATTTGCTTGACTGTACCATGATTACCTACTAATTGTGAAAAAAAATACTTGCAAAATATAGGAAGCATTCTTTTATTTCACAACTTAGAAATAATAATCGTTATAACACGTCATTCCTTCTGTTCCATAAGATATGTGCTTTTTTTCAATCATCACTGAGATTACTCTCCTGAGCTTCCCCCCCTTAATATGTTATCATAAACTTTCACTCCCGTGTAATTTAATTTTTTCCAAAAGCACTGAAGTGACCACACAATTGCTTACACACAGTTGTACCACAATGTCTTACCTACTCCAAATTTGTTGGACATTTAGGTCATTTCCAACTTTTCTCCACTTGTAATTAGTACTACAGGGAATATCATATGCATAAATTCAATGCGGATGGCTTATTTCATTAGGAGAAATTCCAAAAAATGGAGTTCCTGAGCTGAAGGAAATGTTTCTTTAACACTTTTGATAAATGCCATCACTATGTCCTCCAGAACAATGGAACAACTTATACTTCCAAGAGCAGTGTACTGGCAGCGCCCCCCGCCCATCAGCAAACAGGATCAGCATTTTTGTAACTGTTGTCAATTGGAAGGCTAAGAAATGTTCATTATTACATTTAAATGTGTATTTCTTTGCCTTCTAGTAAGACTAAATGTACTTAACACATTTATATTTTAGCTACTTTTATTTCCTCTTCCATGAATTCCTGTTCATGTCCTTTGTCTATTTTTGCGCTGAGATCTTAGTGCATTACTTTTTCTAAATCTGTTGTGTGTATGAACCTTCTTGATTTCCACTTTAATTTTTATTATGACATTCTTTGATTTACAAAGTTTGATTTGGATGTGTATACATGTCATTTTCCCTCATAATTTCTTCTACTCTTTTTATGTTTATACAGACCTCACTGCCCCAACACTCAACTAAACAAGTATTAGCAGTAGCTAAAAAGAGCACTTAAAATTCACAAGGGGAGGAGCGCCTGGGCAGCTCAGTCAGTTAACCGTCCAGCTCTTGGTTTCAGCTCAGGTCATGATCTCACAGTTGTGAGACTGAGCTCCACATCAGACTCAGCAAGGAGCACAGAGCTTGCTTGGGATTCTCTCTTTCTCTCTCTCCCTCTCTCTCTGCCCCTTTCCCGCTCTCTCTCTTTCTCTTTCTCTCTCTCTGTCTCTAAATAAATAAACTTTTTAAAAAAATTTAGAAGGGGAAAAGCCAGATCACTTGTCCAACTGAAGAAATGAGTTGCTTTTATTTTCAAGACTTCAAATGTACACATCTGGGATTACACAGTGATTGACGACACTACTTCTATACCTTTAATCATACATAATTATTAACAAATACCGAGACAAACCTTTTCTTAGTGGTATCCAATATAATTACCAAATTTTTTCAATCACCAGGAATAACATAACTCAGAAAGTCTCCAAAAGAACCAAAAAAAGTTAATCTCAGGGCATGACTGTCAGGAAAACTCTAGTTCAGCTAGTTCCCATGGACACAAAGAGCTACACGAGACAGCATTAGTACTTTAATTATTAGCAGCTATTCTTCCCATCCCATTTCTAAGCACGATTCATTTTCTCTACCTTTGTGTTAGCAGCTACAAAGGGAGAATGTTAAAGTAACAGGTAAAGTAGAAAGCGCATAGGCTTTAGAACTTGCTAGCTGTGGGTTCAAATCCTGGATCCACCATTCACTAGTTATTTACCCTAAATAAGTCAAATGGCCTCTGAACCAACGCTCCATCATCTGTGTAACACTGCAGTCAGTATTAGTGGCACAGACTGGGCACTCTATAAATGATTTGGTAATGATTTCCAAGGAAATGCCTTCCTTGTTGTAAAAGCAGGACTAAGAATTAAGTGTTTATTTTTCAATACAATTTTCTGTTCACATATAAATGTGCATGTGTACATTTGTTTGCTTTCCTTGTGTTATTAAGAAACTGGTAAGTGACTAAATCTTTTTTGTTTTGTAAGTAGCCTACAGAAAAAATTAAACAATGTCCAGAAACTATGGGAGGAAAATCCCCACTTTAATATGAAGATGAAAGGCCATTTAGGGAATGGTTTCCTTCATCCCACTACAAGTGGTACTTCAAAAGCCTCGCAAATAATTCAATTTGCATTTCAACTAGCAGTCTGTAGCATCTGTATGCACAAACCAAACCCCATCCTTCCTGTAAACATGGAGCTAACTTCAGTAGTTGGGGCAAACAACAACAACCTCAGATTTGAGAAGAATAAACCACTGGGGAAACTTTTGAGAATGGACCACTACCCATAAAAACAACTCTGACAATGGAAGAACAACAGCAAAAAGTCACTTTGTATTGAAACTGAAAAACTATTTATGATAAATATATATTCGGCTATAATGGAACTATAAATACTAAATTACTAAAAAAATCTTAGTTTTAAGGACTGAACATTCTTAAATTGTTGGCCTAACTCTGCGTCTTCTTCTTCTAGAATAACTGTTTTAGCCATGGAATAAGAGAATCTAAAACAATTTGCATTCGTGTGAAAATACAGCAGCAGAGGAGAACAACAACATAACAAATCACAACCTACTTCTGAGAAGAAAAAAAAACAATGTTTAAAAAAGCCCCGCTGTTAGGGCCAGGTAGAGTCCAAATTTATTTCTAGAATTCCAGTGTTGCATAACTGAAGTGTATTTCAATGGAGCTGAACATCAAGTTACATAATTACCAAATTACTGCATTCTATTTTGCTTTTTCAGCAAAGAACATGATGGGTCTGGCTGACGGCGACAGAAGAAAAGAATTTAAAGCAGCATATTTTGCTTATAGCAGAAAACAACTTTTATTTTAAAAGCATTTAGATGGAAGATCACAAATTTTCAATTTTTTGTCCCTAAACTAAGCAATATAAAATGGTCTTTAAAAACCTCAATTTTTGTTTGTCATTTTTTCAAGGTATTTTTAGTTATTGCCATTGTTTATTTTAAAAAGCTCACTCAACAAATACTTAACATATGTTAAAAAGATCATTAGAAAAGACTTATCAAATTTATATGCTTCCTTCCCATGGAGAGTAGCACAAATATTGGACATTCAGCTACATTTTACAGAAAATTTAATAATGGAAAATATATTCCAGGAAAATATCATCTGCACTTGTTGATTTAAATTTAAAGCATCAGAGAATTAGCTGAATATTAAAAAGTTGTTATCTAAAACTTATTGATGTATTAATAACCATAATGAGCGATATTCATTTTAGAGCAAATATGCATCCTCCTCTAAAACATGACTTCAACGGAAGAGGACAGATGCAATCATTAGAAGATTAAACTACTCCGGGAAGAGCTTAAACAAAGAATTATAATAAACTAAGTAGCATCTCCCATTGTCTTGTTCTCTGGGAAGGTTTACAAGTCGGAAGTTATTTTACTTAAAGCATTTTTAAAAAGCAAATAAACGAGATCAGAGCTTCAGACTTTTTCTTGATGTATATTATGTGAAAATCTCAGATGACTAGGATGGTCTACAGAGGGGTATGGAACACAATGTCAATAAATGATGCTATGATTATACACTGAAATAAACAAACCTAAAACAATGAAAGCTACCCAACAAAAACTACACTTAAAAGTTGTTCATTGTTGTTCACAGACTAAAACTGTAAGGGATGGTCATGATTACCGTGACTCAATGGGGTGGCACCATCCCTGGGCTTCTTTTCTTCTTCAGCTTGCTCCTAGAACACAGAAAATGTGGTTTAGACCATATTTTTGGATACATATTGGACACACCAGAAAGAACTCTTCTGTGTGCAGGAAGCCAAACCGTGAAAAGCACTGTAAAGGCAGCAACAATCCATGAGTAGCCAATGCCCTCAGCTGGGTGTGCGACCTCAGAGGGCACACCATGATCCATCTGGACATGGCAGGAATCCTCTATTACTGTCTTAATTCTTTTCTGGCTAAAGTATGAGAGAGAGTAAGGTTCAAAAACAGTTTATACGGAAGCTGATAAGGACGCCTCCCTACTGCCTGTGTGTGACACTGTGCCAGAGGCAGGCTGATGGAAGAGTCAACTCCCACACCACAGCCAAGCCTCCTTCAGCCTACCGGCATCTATGACAATTTATTAAGGCTCAGTCAAGGTAACGTTATCTAATTTTAGCCAAACTGACCTCCAGAGAAGAGACAAATGACTTCAAAGATTCCTTTGAAAAAACCCCAGACTGCATATGACAAACAATACAAGCGCCCAAAAAGACCATGGCAGAGCTTCTCTCCACCGAGCAAGCAATTCATCAGACATTCTCACAGCAACTCTCGAAGAAAGGCTGACCACCTAACAAAGACTAAGGGAATAACTTCTTTTTGAAAGATACTCACAGTAACAAAGAGCGTTTGTTAGTGGGTACTCAGAAATGTGTTTCATTTACAATTTTGTAGTCATAAACATTGAATGCCCCCCATTCAAACTCATAATTATACACTTAAAAATTGAGGAGCAGAGTTTCCCAATTTTAAAATCCTCCAAATGAAGGGTTTCAGTGGGCTCTGAACTCACTTTTGGAAATATAAATATGCAATACCTCTGATTAGTTCCCAAGAAAAACTGTCATCAGGGAAGATGAAAAGTCAGCAGCTGAAATACACAAAAACCTTCACATAACTGACAGGGGTGCTGAGAAATGAGTGTCATGATTAGCAGGTTTGGCTAACAATCGTTTCTTCAGATTAGGCCTGTTTACTCTTGGGACATGTCTTTTTAAGCTATGACAAGGGTGACTGACCACCCCAGTTTTCCCAGGTCTGACATAGCCACAGCACTGAAGCCTGCATGTGGGGAAGCCCTAAGTTCTAGACAAACCAGGACACCCAGTGATCCCGGCTATGACAACCATTACAACCGAACCTAAAAAAACAGACTTCAGACAATGCCAACACAAAGCTTTGCATCAAGCTTTCAAAAAAGAATCATGCTTGCTAATATTTTAATGGGAGCAAACTTGTTTGTAACTGTTAAATAGCATTGATTTCATTTTTCTATGACACTTTCTTAGTTTCTTTTTTGGTTTATGGCTTTGAGGTGCAAAATACAATTTGAGTAATAGTAAATCATACAATTCTCAAATAAACGAATAACCCACATGTATTGAGATATGTGATTAATGTTTCTTTATTGATGGGTAAGCACACCAGGCTGCCACTTGCTGATACAGCCAGATACAATTGATTGTGAAAGCTTGGTATCTTTCTGTACATATAATTTGTTTTTTAAGTTCATATGGCTTAAGGTAAAAATATACAGAGAAACAAATAGAGTGAAAACTTTCCCACCCATCCTCCCCACTCTGGCCAACTCATAACACCTCCACCTGGAAATCACAGTTACTAGAGTCTAATATGTCTTTGTAAAGTTTTCTTTATAAAAACACAAAGAAACATGAATATACGTTCTTATTGTCTTGCTTTTATGCACAAAGGTCGCACATCATAATACAGTTTTTTCCCTCTCTTTTCATTTAACAAAATACCTCAGAGATCTTTATCAGATTATGAAGAGCATTCTTGTTTGTTCTTCACAGCTGCACAGCATTACACTGAATGGATATTTCATGATTTACTTAACTGGTTCCATATTTATGGATATTTGGGCTATTTCCAATCTTTTTTTCCCCCAGTCATATAATGCTACAGTGAAAAACCAGCACGTATGTCATTTTGCATATGTGCAAGGGTATCTATGGAATGACTTCTCAGGAGTGAAACTGCCAGTCAAGAGACTCGTGCTTTCCTGCTGCCAATCCCCACACGAGCTTTCCCACTCAACAGTCTCACAAGCCTTGGATCAGTGCCTGCTTTCCCACAGCCTTGTCACCAGGGTGTGTTATCAAATTTTTGGATTTTTGCCAAGACGGCGAGTGACAAACATCTCACTACAGTTAAATGTGCGTTTGTTACATTATGAAGAAACTGAAGATCACTTTGTATATTTAAAGCCACTTGTATTTCCTTCTCTGTGAAATATCTTTTTACATCCTTAGTCCGTTTTCTGTTGGAATGATTGCTCATCTTTGGGTCTTGATAAATGAGGAAGATTAGTCCTGTGTTTACATTATGAGATGCATTATTCTTTTTCCCCAGTTTGTCATTTGTCTTTTTCATTTTTCTTATGGTATTTTTTAATATGTAGGGATTTTTGTTGTTTAAGAAATGAAATTACAAACTTTTCTTTCATGGCTTCTCAATTTGAATAATCATTAGAAAATCCTTCTCCACTCCCAAATTATAAAAACCTTCTACTTTGCTTATGTCTATTACATTTACGGTTTATTTTTTCACATCTGATCTTTGATAAATCTGAATCTGAGCCAGGATATAGTGTGAAGTAAACATCCAGTATTTTCACCCAAGTGGCCCTTCACCTCTCCCAACATGTATGGACAATATACTGAACTCCCATGTGCATTTGCTCCTACTTCTGGCATGTCTCTTCTGTTTCTTTGTTTATCTGTCTTTTCAGTTAGCAGTACCACACTGTTTTAATGATGACGGCCTTGTGTTTTAATATGATTCCTAGACTGTTTAGCGTCTACCCACAATAAGCGAGTTCCCTTCTGTTCAAGTTTTAGAGTCAGGCATCTGAGGGTTCATCCCCAATCCACCTTACCAGTGGTATGACGCTGACCAAGTGACCTAATTTCTGTGAGCCTCAGTTTTCTAATCTGTGATCTGGAGATCATCTTAACTTCTTTACTGAATTGCTCCAAGGAATAGAGATCCACAGGTAAAACCTGACTGCAGCCTGTAACACATGGCAGACTCTCCATGGTAGCCGTCACAGTTATTCTGCCAGATTTCAAGCTGCAGACTTGAAATGGATCCAGACTTAATAAAAATTAAGTTAGCCTTCCTATTTGTGTTTACTGACTGAAGAAACATATCTCAAATGAACAGAATCTCTGATGAAAGAAGAATTCTGAGAGAGAGTAGAGAAGAATCTTAAACCACTAACTGAATTAATTACCTATTTAACAAATTTATTGAGCTATTCTTATATGGCAGGAAATGCACTGGGTTTTAAGGAGCAAATGAAACACAACACCCAGTGTTTGTTCACTGACAACCCATCATCTGATAGGCGTTTACTACTGAATGGCTGACTGAGGAAAGAATGAAGCCTCACATTTACTCTTCTGTCCCCCCAGCTCCTTATGACATACATTCTCACCCCCACTGCGACAACCCTGCAGCTGCCCATTCTCCATGCACCACTCTGGCCTCACCTCTGCCTTCCTGCCTTCATGCCTCTCATGTGCAAGCATCCCCACTGCTCTCCAGACTTTCTGTCCTGCCCACCCCTGTTCTGTTCGCTCTGACACCTGCCAACCCACTCTCAGTCTCACAGACAAGATGACCAATGGATCCACATCTCCCTCCACCATGTTTCAAACCTGCAGATCCAAAGTCCCACTACACAGCTTCATCTGGATGCCTTACAAGCTCTTGAAACTCAGTAATTACCAAAGGGAATTCATCATTACACTCTGAACCTCTTCTTATCCCCTGCCCAAAGTTCCCCAAACTCACTCTGCACTTTGCTTCACCCACACCCTCTCCTCCACCAGCTACTCTCCTTGCGGATTCTCAGATGACCCTAATGAGCAATGCCCTTGTAGAATCCCCTCCCCTGAGCAGGGGTGAAATTTGTTACTTACTTCTAGACCAAAGAATATGCCAAGGTGATGGGACAGTCAGTTTCTCAACTGCATTACAATATATGACTCCACACTAGCTGACTAAAGCAGGAGGATCTCCGGCCTTGAAATAGCAGGCTGCCATGCAGTGAGAGGACCCCATGACAAGGAACTGTGCAGGGCCTCTTGGAGCTAAGACTGGATCTTGCTTGAGAGCCAATGAGAAAACAGGACCCACATTCCTACAACCACAAAGAACAGAATTCTGTTGACAACCATATGAGCTTGGAAGAGGCCATTGAGCTCCAAAAAGATCTCAGCCAGACCAACACTTTGATTTTACCCTTTGATACCCCAAGCAGAAAATTCATTTAACTCATGCCTAGAAGACTGACCTATGGAAAGTGTGAGGTAATAATAAATGGCTGTTTTAAGCCACAAAGTTGGTGGCAATTTGTTAAGCAGCAATAGAAAACTAATACATGCCTATTTATCCTTTAGAAGTTAACACAAGGAGGTCTCCTTGCTCTTACTTCCTCCTCCCCTCTCCGCCCACGTTAAACTGGGTAACCTACTGAATCCTGGAAATTCCCTGTACAAATCTCTATTATTGGGCCTATCATCTGTCTTATTGGACTCACCTGCTTTGAGGAACTTACTGAAGGCACAGTCTCAACCATCTTTCATCCCCAAAAGGTAACTTGGCACCTAGTCTAGCTCAACAAATATTTGCTGAATGAAGGCATGAATGCAAGTACTTTTCCACCTGGTAGATTTCACATCCAAAGTTATCACGCAATTAATAAAGTAGCATCCTGATAAAACATACTATAACCTAGAGCTTCTCAAAATTTAACATGCATATGAATCACCTGGGTATTTTGTTAAAATGCAGATCTTGACTCTATAGGTCTGGAATAGGGCCTGAGATTACCAGTGTCCAACAAGCCCCAGCTGAAGACACTTCTGAAGGTCTGTGGACCACAGCATGAGCTGTACAGCCACCATCTTCCAGGCAGAGGGTGAGAGTAGAGAAGCCATCC